TATGTAATTGTAGATTCCAATTTTCATTCCATTTCTTCCTTACATATTTCTGTGGTTATAAATATGTGGAAAGTAGAGAGTTATGATTTGTTCTACCATCTCTCTAAATGATAACCTGAAGCACTTATGGCTTCATAGTGCACATACTGCCATGTAACGGGCATCTTGTTGAACATATTGGTGTTTGTCAATACCAATGAAGAAAAGGCGAACGTATGAAATTTTATTGTAATCTACTTTTTAGATCTATTTAAATGAGAAGGATAAAAAGATTTCCCAGGAGTCATCCTTAGAACAATAATCACAAAACTCACATGGAAGCCGTTTTTTCTCACCTTGTTTTTATTCTAATACAACTGCATTTGGGTGGACAGTACGATTCCTTATTTTTCTTTAATCAAAATTTTGCTTTGTCCTTTCTTTAAGATTGTTTTTATGTGCTGTTGAATTCAAAAACAATTTAAAGCTGAACCAGCAGGCAACCAGAGCTCCCTACGTTTTGTGTATATGTGTGTATACTCCTCGAAAATTATTCTTTCTTAATCTCACTGCTTGTTTATATAATTAATAATAATTTGTGCTTAATTCCTCTTGGTTATGTTGTGTTTGTTTTTATGTGCTGTTGAGTCGCCTGCGACTCATAGCAACACTATGCACAACAGCCCTAAACCCTGCTCTATCCTGTGCCAACCTTATTGACTCTAACACTCTACCCCCAGTACTCCAGTCGCTGAATCAGTCTATCTCAGCAAGGGTCTTCTTCTCCTGCGCTGTCTCTCCATCCTCCCAAGCATGACCTCCCTCTCTAAGGACTGGCCCCTCCTTGCAACATGTCCAAAGTATGTAAGATGATGCTTCAGAATCCTTGCCTCCAAGGAGCAGCCTGGATTCACCCTCTATAGGACAAACCTATTTGTTCTCCTAGCATTACATGGTACATTCAGTACTCTTCTCCAGCGTCACTGCTCAAAGGCATCAACTCTCCTTCTTTCATCTGGGGTCATTGTCTAGTTTTCTGATGCATATCTAGTAATTGCAAAGACTATGACCTGGATCAGGTGCACCTTAGTCTCTAGACTGACATAATTGCTCTTCATTACCTTGGAGAGGTCACTGACAGCAGACTTTCCCAGTGCAATTCATCTTTTAATTTCCTGGCTGCAGGTACCAAGAGTGTTGATTGTGGAGCCAAGCAAACTAAAGCTGTTAACAATTTCAATCTCTTCACCATCTATCATGATACTACCAGTGGTACCAGTGGTGAGAATTTTTGTTTTCTTGATGTTGAGCTTCAATCCACAATGAAGGCTGTAGTTCTTGACCTTCTGCAGCAAGTGCTTTCGCTTCTCCTCAGTTTCAACAAGCAGGATTGTGTCATCTGCATAACACAGATTGTTGATGAGTCTACCTCTAATCCTGATGCTACTTTCTCCTCATAGAGCCTAGCCGCCCAGATGATCTGTTCTGCATATAGATTGAAAAGGAATGGAGATAGGATATAACACTAGTGTGCACCCCTCCCAGTTTTGAACCATGCAATGTTACCTTACATTGTTCTGACGACTGCCTCTTAGTCCAAGTATAGGTTTCACATAAGCATGATCTGGGATTCCGATTCTCAGAGTCAACCACAGTTTGTGATCCATACAGTCAAATGTCTTTACACAGTCAATGAAACACAGATAGACATTCACCTTATACTCCCTGCTTTCAGCCTCTTGGTTATATAATTTATAACAATGGATATGCACTCATGCACTCATTACAATGTGGTTAACTTAATAATAGATAACCCTCCAGTGGTTTTCAGAGGCTGTAAAATGCACAGGAAGAGATTGTCCATGTTTTTCACTCAGAGCCGCTGATGGATTCAAACTGCCTGAGACCTCAGCCTTTGGGTTGGCAATACAACTCCCTTCGAATCGACACTACTAGAGTTTTATTAATGATTGTGTGGTTCTATAAAGGCATACTTAGGTGTATACATATAAAAGCCATATTAAGGCATATTTTAATCCTTTTACTTTTTCTCATTTTTATTCATTTGTCATATACTCACATTCTCTTAACTCTCTAAATATACATCAACTAATGATTTACTATTTTGGAAATTTTTTTCACTTAAATTTTGTGTCAAGGTTGTTGTTGTTTTCACTGAGTCAGAATTGACTCCTAGCTGACCCTTCACCAGGTTTTCAGAGATAGTTACTTACGTAGGAGACTGTTGATCCTTCTTCTGAGGAGCAGTAGTGGATTCAAACCATGTACCTTTGGGATTTGCAATGCAACTTGTTACCACTAGGCCACCAGAGTTCTGGTATCACTAAGGGTAGAAATTTGAAATTATAATTGCTCTAAGATAATTTGTTGTTGATATGTGACATTGAGTCAACTACAATTCTTGGTTCCTCAGTAAACAACAGATCAGAACTCTTCCTCGTCCTACACCATCCTCATAATCTCTTACATGCTCGAGTCAGTTGTTACAGTCACTGTGTAAAGCTACCTTGTTGAGGATCTTCTTCTTTTTGTCCAACTCTCTACCTTTTTCCATGTGCTGATCATTCCTGACAACATTCCCAAAGTGGATGAGGTGAAGCTTCGCCATCTTTGCCTCTAAGGAGCTCTCTGGCTGCACTCCCTCCAAGACAGACTTATTTGTCCTTTTTATGATATATGAGATATTTCTTCAAGACCCTTGTTTTTGGTTTTTTTGGCAGTCTATGGAACATAATTTAGTAGGTGACAAAAAAGCATAGATTTGTACACGAGAATGTTTTTTATTTAAAGTTTTATATTGAAGCATTTATACCCTCCTGAGTTACATGCAGAAGAAAATGAAATTTAAAATTTTATTTCCTATCCATACACATACAAAGAAGACCTGTTAACACCAATATCATTCAAATATTGTTGGTTGCACCAACAACCAGAGCCAAAGATGAGAAAAGAAAATATTTTTACCAACTTTTGCAGTTGGAAATTAATTGAACATGCAGCCAAGATGCATTAATCATAATGCAGAAGTTGAGGACAAAGAGGAAGGGTTAGTAGTCAGAAAATCTGGATGTGGTGACAGAAATGAGGCTGGAGATAGAATGATAGAATTTAGAATAATCAATGATTTAGTCATCGAAAATACCTCTTATAAGAAACACAAATAGTAACTATGCCCATGAACCTCACCTGATGGTTTACACAGGAATCAGACTGATTATGACTATAGGAAGAAGAAAAAATATAACTGGAGAAGCTCAATACCAGCTGTAAAAACTAGACAAGATACAAGTTCAAACTGAAGCTAAAGAAAACCAAACAAATCCCCAAGAATGAAAATTTGACCTTGAGTCTATCCCACCTGAATTTAAAAACCATCTTAGGAACAGATTTGAGGCCTTGAACACTAATGAACAAAGACTAGATAAGCTGTGAAAGGATATCAAGAATATCATCCAGAGGGGGGAAAAGATTAAAAAAAGGGGGGGCCCTCCAGCATACTGAAGACCTTGAGGATAGTGCAGGATAGGGCAAGGTTCAAAATCATTGTTCATAGGGTTGCTAAAAAATGATAGCTGACTTGATGATACCTAAAATTAGCAATAATTCTTTTTAGTCACTCTACTTTTGTGTGTGTGATTCAAATTCACTCAACTTATCCAAACTGTACATCTCTTTTCTTGTAGCAGTTTAAAGAATGGTACTTATTTAAGCTTCAGTATTCTAACTTGTGGTGTTATCTACATTTTGATTAAATTTTAAAAAAAAATATCATCCAGAAAGAGTGCAAATGGTCATTACAAAGACGAAGGAGGAAGTAAAGACCAAGATGCGTGTCAAATAAGACTCTGAATATTGCACTAGAGCACTGAGAAGCTAAAGCATACAGAAGAAATCAGGAAGTCAAAGACCTGAACAGAATATTTCAAATGGCAGCTAGGGAAGACAAAGCAAAATATTATAATGAAATGTTCAGAATGGAGTCGGAAAATCAAAAGGCACAAACTCGCTTGACTTTTTTCATTCATATATATATATATATATTTGCTCACAAAGTTTATATACATTGCGCTTTACAGTATTCTTCATTCATATGGTGTTTCATAAAATCATTTCCATGCATTATGTTTTATAAAAGCAATCATATTGGACCTTGCCCATCATTACCAAAACTTTTCCGGTCCCCTCTGGATTCTTCCCATTTCCTTCACCCCCTCCTTCCACCCCCCAAACTGTGCAACTCTGGTTTCTCATTGTGGGTTTGATTTGCATCTCCCTTATTACCAGTGATTTTTAGTATTTCTCATGTGTCTGTTGGCCATCTGAATGTCTTTCTCTGTGATGAATTTTCCCATGTGTTTTGCCCATTTTAAATTGAGTTACCAGTCTTTTTCTTCTGGAGGCCCATGAGAATTCTGTAAACTTTTGTTATAAGACACGTGTCTGAGATGGTAATGCCAAATGTTTGTTTCCAGTCAATAGCTTTTATTTTCGCCCTGTTGAAAAATGTTATTAGGCATTTCTTAACCTGAAGAACTTAAGAACAAATTCAGGCCCTAAGTAGCAATACTTATAGATGCTAAGGACAGAGTATTGAACAATCCAGGAAGCATTGAAAGAAGAGGAAGGAGAGAATTAAGAGTTGAAAAACAAACAGAGACCAATGTGTACACCAATGTTCTTAGCATTATTCACCATAGGAAGAGCATGGAAACAGCCCAAATGTCCTACCACAATAGAATGGATTGAAATATTAAGGTCCATTCACACGATGGACATCTTCAAGACAACAATACTTTATTAAAACACTTTTTATTAATGGTTTAATAAAGACCTTCTGTTTTGACAATGTGTACCTAACTTCCTAACTATAATAAAGCAGTGCTATTTTATACATAATTTAATCTGTATAAAAATTATTTATTGGTGATAAGATAAAAGAAGAAATGTCCTTATATACTATATATTCTATCTTTAACATATATTTCTCTAAATTTTCTTAGTCCCTGAAATTAAAGGAAAAAACAAACCAATAATCACTTATGTGGGAGATACTGTTATTTTGGTATGCAAATGTCAACATTGTTCACCTATATCTTGGACTTGGTATCATCGTAACGGGAGTGTCCAGGTAAGATACTGTGTCTTTGTTATGAAGAAATTAAACTCTTATTGTATAAATAACACTATTGTCATAGCTTTGAAATTCTTCGAACTCTCTGTTACTTCTGTTTTCCTGCTCTTTAAAATATATTTTTAAAGAAAGATCAATGCTAAATGGCATTTTCCTCTCCTATTTTCAGCTTATTATAATATTATCTGAAATTACTCTGGAGAAAAGAGTATGTGTCGATAAGTTGATAAGTTAAATATAAGTAATTTGTTCTATTAGTGTCACTGACCATTTTTGGCCTCTGGAGAATTCTTAAGGAGATCATTGATATTCTGGCATTTAGATTTTACTTTTCTCTCTTCCTGTTACGACAGAAATTCAGAACCTTGTCCCTGGTGAAGCTCTTCCTTTGCCTTGGTTCTAATCAGCATAAAAATGAAGTAACTGCCCAAAAGGAGTATATGATTAGGCATTACATGTATGACAACAGTCTGGATCAAGGGATACATTGTAGGGTTGGCTGGGGAGGTTGGGGGGAGTAGGAAACAATGAATTTTTTTCAAAAATATCTTTTAAAAGTTAAGCTGTAATTCCAGCAACAGTATGAAATATCATAGATGTTACACTGAGTTATTAAATGCCTTATTAGGCAAAAATGATGCCATACTAGACTTTTGAGGAAAGACAGAGGAAAGACTTAGAACACTAAGACTTCGAACACCGTAACACTCCAGCTTGTCTCTCTTGTTGATGACTAGAAAAGGCCATCATCATTTGTGTATATGAAGTATTTTTAAAACCATGTCAATATATAAAGACAGAGAACAATTAGTAGTTAAACAGCATAATTTATTCATGTACATGTAATACGTATAACCAAAGAATTAAATTACCCTGCCTGCCCCCTTTTAATGCCTGGCAAAATTTTATTTTACTGAAGGAAAAAGAAAGAATTGTATTGGTCACTATTACTTGTTGTTGTTGTTGTTATGTGCCGTCGAGTCGTTTGCGACTCATAGCGACCCTATGTACAACAGCCCTAAACCCTGCTCTATCCTGTGCCAATCTCATTGTCCCCGACACACCCATCCCAAGTACCCCAGTCACTGAATCAATCCACCTCATAGAGGGTCTTCCCCTCCTGCGCTGTCCCTCCATTCTCTCCGGCATGATGTCCCTCTCTAAAGACCTGTCTCTCCTTACAACATGTCCAAAGTATGTCAGACGAAGCCCCAGAATCCTTGCCTCTAAGGAACAGCCCAATTTAACTCACTGCAGGATGAATCTGTTTTCTTGGCAATCCATGGTACCCTCAATACTCTTCTCCAGCACCACAGCTCAAAGGCATCAATTTGCCTTCTCTCCTCCCTAGTCATTGTCCAACTCTGTGATGCATAACAAGTGATTGCAAAAACCATGGCCTGTATCAGGCGCACCTTAGTCTCCAGAGAGACACTGTTGCTCTTGAGTATTTTGGAGAGGTCCCTAACCGCAGACTTTCCCATCGCAATACGTTTTTTGATTTCCTGGCTACTGGTGCCAAGAGTGTTGACCGTGGAGCCGAGCAAACTGAAGCTATGAACAATCTCAATCTCTTCGCCATTCATCCTGATGCTACCGATTGGTCCCAATTAATATTTAGGGAACTCTGCTGACCCTTTTGTTGTTATGTCGCTTGCGACTAATAACAACCCTACATACAATAGCTCTAAACTCTGTTCTGCTGTCTCTGATACACCCATCCCAATTACCACAGTCACTGAATAAATCCACCTCATAGAAGGCCTTCCTCTCCTGTGCTGTCCCTCCACCCTCTCAGGCATGATGTCCATCTCCAAGGACCTATCCCTCCTTACAACATGTCCAAAGTATGTCAGACGAAGCCTCAGAATCCTTGCCTCTAAGGAACAGCCCAATTTAACTCACTGCAGGATGAATCTGTTTTCTTGGCAATCCATGGTACCCTCAATACTCTTCTCCAGCACCACAGCTCAAAGGCATCAATTTGCCTTCTCTCCTCCCTAGTCATTGTCCAACTCTGTGATGCATAACAAGTGATTGGAAAGACCATGGCCTGTTTCGGATGCACCTTAGTCTCCAGAGAGACACCATGGCTCTTCAGAACTTTGGAAAGGTCCCTAACAGCAGACTTTCCCATGGCAATACGTCTTCTTATTTCCTGGCTACTGGTGCCAAGAGTATTGACTGTGGAGCCAAGCAAACTAAAGCTGTGAACAATCTCAAACTCTTCACCATCCATCCTGATGCTACCAATTGGTCCAGTGGTGAAAATCTTTGTATTCTTGACACTGAGCCTCAATCCATATTGAAGGCTTTAGTCCTTAATCCTCTGCAGCAAGCGCTTCAGGTCCTCTTCAGTTTCAGCAAGCAGGGTTGTGTCATCTGCATAACGCAGCTTATTGACAGATCTTCTACCAGTCCTGACACATTTCTCCTCATAAAGCCCAGCCTCCCGGATAATCTGTTCTGCATACAGGTTGAAAAGGTATGGAGACAGGACACATCCCTAGTGTATGCCCTTCCCAGTTTTGAACCATGCAGTGTTTCCTTGCCGTTCTTATGACTGCCTCTTGGTCCAAGTAGAGGTTTCGCATTAGAACGATCAAGTGTTCTAGGATTCCCATTCTTCTCAGAGTCAGCCACAGTTTGTTATGGTCCACACAGTCAAAAGCCTTTGCATAATCAATGAAACACAGATATACATTCCTCTGGTACTCCCTGCTTTCAGCTAAGATCCATCTAACATTAGCTACAATATCCCTAGTACCACGACCCCTTCTAAACACAGCCTGGACTTCTGGCAGTTCTCTGCTGATGTGCTATTCCAGTCATTTTTGGATAATCCTCAGTAGAATCTTGCTTGCATGTGAAATCAGTGAGATTGTTCTATAGTTTCCACACTCCGTTGGGTCACCCTTCTTTGGGATACCACTACCATTCAGGTATATGCACCAACAACCAGAGCCAAAGAAGAGGAAATAGAAGATTTCTACCAACTTTTACAGTCGGAGAGCGATCGAATGTGCAATCAAGATGCATTGATAATAATGGGTAACTGGAATGCAAAAGTTGGGAACAGAAAAGAAGATTCAGTAGTTGGAAAACATGGACTCAGTGACAGAAATGGAGTTGTAGAGAGAAAGATTGAATTTTGAACAATCAATGACTTATTCATTGCAAATACGTAGTTTTTTGGGTTTTTTTCCTTTTTTTCTTTTTTTAAATCATTTTAATGAGCATTTACAGAGATTTTGGATTTCCATTCCTTCACTGCTGCACTTCTCTTCCTACCCATCCCTCCCTCCCCACCCCCCCAGTTCGCTCCTCTCTTTCAAACTTAAAAGAAACATTCCTTCCCTGGTACACAATCCCCCCGCACCCCTCCCACTGCCCCAAGTACATTCAACTATGCAACCTTAATTGTGGACTCTGTGATAACCATAATACCCTATCATACATCGCTGTTAAATTATTCTCTCCCTCATCTGTTTCAGTGCAGTATACAGAGACATAAGCATAGGTTATATACATGGATTTCACCTGATGGTATGTATAGGAATCAGATCGATTGCTTCTGCTGAAAGAACCGCTGGAGATGCTTAATATCAGCTGTGAAAACTAGGCCAGGAGCTAATTTTGGAACAGATCACCAACTACTCATATGTAAGTTCAAGCTGAAGCTGAGGAAAATTAAGCCAAATACATGATAACCAAAATATTACTTTGAGTCTATCCCACCTGAATTTCAGAACCATCTCAGGAACAGGTTTGAGGCCTTGAACACTAATGAGTGAAGACCAGATGAGCTGTGGGAGGATATCAAGGGTTTCATCCAGGAAGAGTACAGGCGGTTATTGCAAAGACAGAAGAGGAAGAAAAGACCAAAATGCATGTTAGAAGAGACTGAATATTGCACTGGAGTGCAGAGAAGCCAAAGCAGAAGGAAGAATTCTAGATACTAAAGAGCTGAATAGAAGATTTCAAAAGGCAGCCTGGGATGACAAAGTCAAATATTTCAGTAAAATGAGCAAGGAGCTGGAGTCAGAAAATAAAAAAGGCTGAATTCACTCAACATTTCTTAAGCTCAAGGAACTGAAGAACAAATTCAAAGCTCGAGTTGTTATAATCAAGGATGCTTTCGGCAGAATATTAAATGATCCGGGAAGTATTAAAAGAAGATAGAAAGAATATACTGAGTCACTGTGTGGAAAGGAATTGGCAGACAGAAGAATTTAATGAAACAACATGTGAGCAAGAGCCTATGGTGATGAAGGAAGAAATTCAGGCTGCTTTGAAGGAAATGGCAAAAAATAAGGCCCCAGGAATAGAAGGTATACCAATTGACATGTTTCAGCTGACAGATGCTGGCCTGGACGTGCTCACCAAGTTGTTCCAAGAAATCTGAAGACCAACCACTTGGCCAACTGACTAGAAGAGATCTATCTGGTGGCCTAGTTATGAGGAACTACCCTGCAGTCCCAAAGGCACAATCTACCAGTTCCTTTTCCTCGGGAGAAGGATGACAAATCTCCTCCTGTGCAATTTACTGACTCTGAAAACCTGCTGAAGGGTCAGTTATGGGTCTGTTCAAACTCAGTGGTATACGACAACAAGAACAACAAATGCAATATCAAACAAAAATAATCCAAACCTAATTTATATTAAACTTTTAGGATATATTCTTATGCATAGTTCTGCACCAGTCATGCTAACCTCTTAATTTGGCTGTAAGCATGGTTCGCATTAGACTATGAGGAAAGTGTAAGCAAGAAGATACACAAACACTAAATGATGTATGTTTTAAAATGTAGGCTGATATGTGCCAGAATCCCCTGTGCACCTGTGCTAATGGAGTACTTTTGATTCACTAGTGATTTCCTCGAATGCATTTATAACATATATCCCTGTAGAATTCTGGCAAGTTATAAACTCAGTGCTTCATTAGAAAACCCTTTGAGAATATTTGTATGCAAATGAGTATTTACTGAGCTGTGCAGAAGAGTGAGAGAGCCCTGAAGTCATCAGAATTATTTGAAAACTTGAATAGATTAAGTTAAAAAGCCCCAAGAAATAGGTAGGTATGGCCCATGAGATGGTGAAGAGAATCCAGAGAACCACAGCAGCCAGCTTGCCTGAGAAATTCAGAAAAGACAGAAGTTGTACCCATTACCCATTGCCTTTCAGTGGATTCCTGTAGAGTAGAATTGTCCATTGGGTTTCCAAAGGATTTACTCTGTATAGAGGCAGACACCACATCTTTCTCCTGGAAGTTGGCTTTGAAATGGTGACCTTTTAGTTAGCAACCAAGTGCTCAAATACTGTGCTGTCAGGGCTTCTTGAATGGGTGTGCAGAGCTCCCATATACCAAGGTCAAAGAGGGTTTCTACTATTCTTCTCTACAAAAGCCCTGGAGAGTTAATTCTCACATTCTACCTGTGAATACCCCATTTTCAGTGGCCAGGGTTATTCTTTTATAAGAATGATAAGATTTGGTAATATTATTAATATTATTTTACTTATTGTTTTAGTGTAAGCCTGTGATCTATGAAGGAGGAAATGCCTTTACTAAAGAGCTGGTTGAGAATTACAACATTAAACCCAGATGATGGGACATTTTCTCTTAATACCATTTCTCATTAAATGTTTATCCATAATGACCAATTTACTGTAGCCTCAAAATTCAAAGCTAACAACCAATGAGTGAAGTTATTTTTCATCTTTTGCAAAGCTACTTTACATTGTTAATTGATCTCAAGAAAATCAAACTGTTAAGATTTAAGCTCTATTATATATGACTAACTCATAAATGTAATTATGTGACCAAGTGGTAAAGAGCTGCGCTGCCCACCCAAAGGTATTCGGTTCTAAACTACCAGTTGCTCAAATGAGGAAGATTGGCAATCTCCTGTGTAATTTACAGCCTCTGAAAACCTGCTGGAAGGTGACAGCCACGAGTTGGTTCCAACATAATAGCACATAACAACATTGTTTGCCTTTGCTTGGGAGCAGTTGTTTACAGAACCATTGTCTAGCTGCAACTCATAACTAGGTCTTGTAAATCATGTATTTAAAGTCTTGTAAGTCAAATTATCTAAGTCTTGTAAAGCATTTAATCTGTGATGTTCTGGATTTTAATCTTATGCTAGGTCCCTGTTGACATTCAAACAAATGATAAGTTCTACATGATCAACAGAACATATAGTAATGAAACAAAGCTCAAGATCGTGCAACTTTCAGAGAAGGACCAAGGACTTTACGCATGCCACGCTGTCTACCAGTTAGGAGAGAGCGAAATGCTCATTGAACTTGTTGTGCTGAGCTATTTGGTGCCGCTTAAACCATTCCTTGCAATAGTCGCTGAGGTTATTGTTTTAGTGTCTGCTATTCTGCTTTGTGAAATGTATACCCACAAGAAAAAGTGTCACTCAGGTAGGATATTTTTTTTCCTCTTAAAGCTATCATGTTATGACTTAAAATATTATAGCGGCTTTGCAGTTTGGGGAGGGGAAGTCCAGTTTTTCTTATTATGGTTAGAATTTTATGTTAATAGCAATGGTGACAGTGAGCTGTGAACTGGCATCTGTGTACTTACTGTAAATGTTCGTGTTAAAAATACCTTGTAACATAGTCTGTAGGGAGTTGCACAGCTAACCCAAAGGCCTCTCTCGTGGTTTGAATCCACTAGCACCTCTGGGGAAGAAAGATACACAGATTCCTTCTTCACAGTTTACAGCTTTTAGAAACCAGTAGAGGATCAGCTATGAGTCAGTTCTGACTCTACTGCAGAGAATGAGTGAGTTGAGAATCTGTGTGCACCTCTGTGTGTGTGTGCCTTGTCTTTGTGCTATTAGTGTCTAAATACCAGTAGCTATTTTGGAATGGAATATTAGAAAGCTCTAGTATCGATAGATAAGTGTTTTAGGAATGGAATATTAGAAAATTCTGACAGAGTTTAACAGAAGAGATTATAGAATCAAATAACCATCTTTTCACTTAGCTATTGGCGGACCTCCCCAATTAAAACAAGCTTGGAAGCAGGAGTGGCATCCACTTCTGAAATAGCTTGCCTTTGGAAACTCTATGAACTTGGAGAAATGATGAAAATTATACAAGTGTTCAGGCATTTCATTCATAAGGTCGCTATGAATCATTTACAACTAGACAGCACTTAACAGCAACATTTCACATTTTATAAAAACTTATCAAACATCCTTCTGTCCTCATAAAACAGTCTTTTGTTAGTTTCTTTCTGTTTGTTTTTTTTTTGAACTTGTCTCACTAGTAGAATATTGAGCTCCAGTGGCTTAGTGGTAAGGAATTGCACTGCAAATACAAAGGTATGCGGTGTGATTCCACCAGCTGCTTCGTGGAAGAAATATGAGCAGTTTCCTTTTGTGCAGTTCACTGCCTCTGAAAACCAGCTGGAGGGTCAGCTGTGGATCAGTTCTAGCTCAACAGTACATGACAACAGCAGTAGAAACAAAAGTCTCACTGGGAAGATTAGTCCTACACTGGGAACTATTAAATAAAAATGTAATGACTTCAATTGAATCACTTATAGTTTTGTCAGATCCCAGGGCACTAGATTACATTTGATTGGAATGTGGTTCTGTCTGGAAGGCTGGAGGATGGTATGGTGGAAGTGCAGTGCTCCAACACAGTGCATTTCTCCATTGTTTCAGAGAGTAAACAGTATCCACCTGAGGAAATGGAACATAGATGTTGCATAAAAATAAGCTGTTTCTTTTTTTTATTAATTTTAATGAAAGTTTACAGATACTTAGGGTTTCCAGTCACTCATTGGTGCACTTTTCTCCTTGCCAAAAAAAAATAAATAAATAACTGTATTAAGCATAAATGTTCCACAAAAATTATACGCTACTCTTAATATTTACATTATTCTTTCTTTTGTTATTCAGATGGTGGGAAAGAATTTGAACAAATTGAACAGCTGTGAGTATTATGTTCTTTTTTACTGATTAATTTTCAGTTTAGTAAAGTACAAGTAAATATGACATTAAATAAAAGCAATTGAGAAAAAAGGACAGGAGTATATTATATATACCTTAGTTTTCTACTTCATCTGCGCTGTGTGAGAGCGACTTCTGTCTGTTACTGGTTCGAACTCTTCGTGATTCCTGTTTAGTGTATTTTCTTCCAGTGGTTATTTGTCAAGTGTCACTGAGTTAGTTCTGACTCACAGGATAAACCTTGGCCCAGTCCTGTTACCCTAACAGTTTTTACCATGTTTGAGCCCAATGTTGTGGTCATGGTGTTAGCCAGTCTCATTGAGGATCTTCCTCTTTTTCATGGACCTTTTGCTTTGCCAAGCACGATGCCCTTCTGTAGGGACTGGTCCCTTCTAATTATATATCTGAAGTGTGTGAGCCAATGTCTCACCATCCTTGCTTGAAAGCAGCCTTGTGGACAGATTAGTTTATTCTTCTCTCAGACTTTGGTATTCTCAATAGCTCTGGTGGCATAATCTGTAGAGAGTTGCAAAGCTCAAAGGATGCACCTCTTTGGCGATTCTAATCACCAGAGGCTCTGCAGGAGACAGATGCGCAGTCCTCCTCCTCTCATATAATTCAGGGCCCTGGAAACCCACTGGCAGATCAGCTGTGAATTGGCTCACTTCAATGAGTGACAGTATTTCTAGTTTTTTGTTGGGTTTTTTTTTTGCATTGTCAACACTGTCATTCATATGCATCAGTTCTTTTTCTTCTTTCATGTTTTTGCATGCATGGGAAGGGACTGGAAATATTGTGGCTTTTGCTTAGAATCATATAAAATACATAATAGCCACTCAAATATTTAGAGACAGTGGTAACCTTGCTTTTATTCTTCTGTTTGCCCACCACAACCTCTCTAGTATCCCCAACTCAAGCATTTCTTTGAGTTAGCTTTGAGAGGGTGCCCTGGCCTCAGTGCATTCTGGCTAGCTTAGGACTCTCTGAGAAGATGCTGTCAGTGCACTTTAGGTTCTAAATTGATCTTTATTTTAGTATCTCCTCTGGACTATCCTATGATCGTTATTAAAAAGATTCCGTGTATAGTATTAACTAATTTTCCTCTTCCCCATCCCCTGAATAACTGCAGTATTATACATTCTTTCCTCATGCTATACTGTTCCCACAGAGTTCCCTGAGGGTGATTCCATTTTCTTATGTTTATATTATTTTCATATCCTTAAATTTAAGTGACGTGTTAAGGACGCTTGGATTCATTTATCACATTTGCCAGGATTTTTTCAAAATACATTGCTGTTACTGCTGCTCTTCTTGTTGTTAGGTGACACTGAATCAACTACAACTTGTAATGTCAGTCTGAACAACAGATCTGAGCCTTGCCCTGTCCTGCACCAACCTCAGGACCTCTGATATACTCAAGTCCTTAGTCATAATCACTGTGTTAATCCATCTTGTCGAGGACCTTCCTCTCTTTCTCTGACCCTCCACCTTTCCCAGCTTGATGTCTTCTTACAAGGACTGGGCCCTCCTGAAAACATACCTAAAATACATAAACCAAAGTTTCATCATCCTTGGCTCGAAGGAGCACCCTAGTTGCACTTCCCTCAAGACAAACTTATTTGTTCTTTTGGCAGACCATTCATTACTCTTCTTCAGCATTGCAATTCAAAGGCGTCAGTTCTTCACTCATCCTTAGGCATTGCTCAATCTTCAGATCAGGCAGATCTTAGTCTTTAAGTTGACATTGTTACTCTTTAGCCCTCTGGAGAGGTCCTTGACAGCAGAGTTTCCCAATTCAACATGTCTTTTGCTTTCTTGGTAAAGTTTTCTTGACAGAGAATAAATGTTATCATTGTATTTTATACATAATGTTTGTATGTGTGCTTAGATACCAATGATCAATAGTTTCTTAGTGAGAGTGATTTTAAAAATAGTATTAAATGTCTAAATTAAATATAGTCTTTTTAAATAGTTCCGTAAGAAGATTACTTATTTATATGACCAGTGCTGCTCTTTATTTTGTATAACCACTGCGACCTCTACCCAATTTTCACATGACTAATTTGCTGGATTCTTTTCCGATATGGTAACAATTACTCAATTCACTCACTCATGTCCTTAAGATCTACAGAGGTATCCTTGCATGTCCTTCTTACATAGATTAGCCATTTTCTTCTTGGAAATCTGAAGCCCACATTTGTCATCTTTTTCTGATGTCTGTTGGGTAGATATTGAGCCATGTGTCTTCTCGTCATTAAATATCATAAACTTGTCAGGGAACCTGGTGGCCTAGTGGTAAGAAGCTACGCTGCAGTACCGAAAAGGCACATGGTTTAAATCCACCAGCTGCTCCATGAGAGAAATATGGGCAGCCTCCTCCTGTGCAGTTTATAGCCTCTGAAAACCTGCTGGAGGGTCAGCTATGGGTTCATGCTGACTGAGCTTCAGATCGACTGTTTACACACACACTTCAGAAAATGCATGAGCTGTGTTTGTACACCCACACTCCCTTTGATGTTTGTTGTTAGGTGCTTCCTAGTCAGTTTCAACTAGTGACCTCATGTGACAAAATAGAACTGTCCTGTAGTGTTTTGTAGCTGTAATGTTTATGATTTGTAATATGTAAATGCCACACTGCCAAATCTTTAACCATTAACAAGTCAGAGAGAAGAAATTATTCTTGCATATGATAAGTAAGGTCTTTGTCATGACATCTATGGAAACAGTTTCTCTAATATAAGTAATAATAAATAAAAATCAAGAGTACCAACAAAACACTTTTAGGAAATATGAATTTAGTTTGCACTGACGTTTTACATTTAACTATGATAGTCGTGGTATGGACTTCTGTCCTGAATTCATTTTGTGTAATGGAAATAACTAGTAATTTTCCTTCTTTTTTATTTTGTATACAGGAAATCAGATGATAGTAGTAATGGAATAGAAAATAATGCCCCGAGGCACAGAATAAATTCAGTTACTTCCAAATGATACTGCACATTAAAGGTAAAATTCAGTTTCCATAGTTTATATTAACACAGTTGTTTTTACTAGTTTCATGTCCAGGGCTAGAAAACCTCATCATTCATTGTATACTTGAATATCTTTGTATATGGTTAGCAATCAGTTAAAAATGTAAGTCTTAAATCAATATCTTTCTCTATTTTGTTCTTTTATCACCATGGACTAGTTTCTATTACAGTTTTCCATTTAGCCTGACTTTTCTCTTTTTTTTCGTGATTCCTTTTTTAATTGCTCTCCTATATTCTGTGCTGTGAGCCAGTCCCTATTAATCATTGATTTACTTCTTAGAGCCAGTATTTCATAGTTCACCGGTATATTTCTTTTTATGTTTAAAGTAAGATATCTTTGTGTTGACAATACAGGCACACCTCAGAGATATTACACGTTCTCTTCCAGCTCACCACAATAAAGTCGGCATCACAGTACAACAAGTTACATGATCTTTTTTGGTTCCTGAAAGCATACAGAGGCTACACAGTTCTGTAGTCTAGTAATTGTGCGATGACATCATGTTTGAAATAGTGCGAGAATTATTAAAACTTGATACAAATGCACAAAGTGAGCAAATGTTGTTGGGGAAATGATGACAGTAGACATATTCAGGACAGGGCTGTCATAAACCCAACATTTGTTAAAAATGCACAGTCAACAAAGTGCAGTTAAGAGAAGCAAACTAAAATGAAGTATGCCAGTGATTTGGATCCCCCTGGTCCACAGCTCCTGTACTTTTTGCATTGATAAAGCAGTAAGTTGTTTTGGAAAAACCAAGACCTCAAAACTGTGTTTCATGTGCTTTATTTCACTCAGGAATCTGTGAGCCAGTGAAGGGGAGACAACATGTCAAGAATCATGAGAAAATGGTATAAAGAGTTTGCCTTTCAGCTTTGTTCATTCTGCTTCTTAGGAATATCCCAGCTTTTATTGTGAAGAGATGAAAATGTCAGCGTGCTCAGCCAGCAGTTGCTTCAAACGTCTTACATGCTATCTGAGAGCTTAAAGGCATACCTTAATTCTGTATTTTACATTAATGCAAGGAAAATTGTACCAAATGTGTTTTAGGAGCAATAACACAGGATAGTCTACTTTTGTTGGTTCTCAGGAGACACACAGAACAGACACCAGCAAAACCTGTTAACAGTTCATGGAGCAGATGTCATCCAAGACCTCCTTATAACCAAAGACATCATTCAAGCAAACAGCTTTACCATTTGTCTTAAAAAAGTTTTTACCCCCAAAATTATGCTCGCTATATATCAAACTGTTTGTAACAATTTCTATGTAAAGGTCATCCCATGGTACTAAAAAATTGTATCTTAATTAAGAAATTAATACTTTGCTATATAATCTCCTTTGCTATTGGCCTTTGCTAATAATCTCCTGGATTAAATATATATTTCATATTCATAAATATTCATTTAAGACAAGTAAATAAACATCTCAATGCTAAATCCATTATTACAAAAGCAGAATTTCCACTGTTTATTCCATTCATATGTACTTCTCTACCCTTTATTTCTCTGCTGTGTTTCTTACTCATTGACTGTACAGAGCTTTTTTGTTTTCAAAATTACAGGCTTTGCCCCTTCATAACATCCAACCTGATAATGTATTCTCATACAGGACCATATAATCATGATGCAGTATGCCACAGAGATGCTTCTATGGCTCAAAGATACAAGCGAAATGGAACCACAGAACCATCTTTGAATCACTGTTCATGGTGCCATTTCTCCAGGCTGGCTTTATTTAGTCCCCATATTTTCTGGTATAATTTTTATCATTTTGTAGCATTTCATCCCATGACTAATAAATATGTAAAAAATCCATTTTTAGGGCTTTTAAATAATAATACTTTTACCCAAAATCCAGAGTGAGTCTGAAAACTAAAGTTCTATCATGATGTTTTTGTGAATGCTTAAGCCTTAAAGAAAAACTATTTATTCCCTATTGCCTATGTAAGTGACATCTTTTTAAAAAACCTACCTAAACTAAGTGAAATTTGAATAGACACAGAAACTTGTTGACACAGTGAGATGAATTATTTTAGTTCCTCTGGTGGCCTACTGGCAAGATGCTGCACTGCAGTCTCAAAAGTATCTGGTACAATTCCACCAACTGTTCCCCTGGAGAAAGATTGTCAGTCTCCTCCCACGAGTTTTATTGCCTCTGAAGCCTTGCTGGAGGGTCACCTATTGGTTGGTTCCAACTTGACGACATATGACAACAACAAAACAGATTACTAGACTCAGTAGAAAATGGTGAGGGACCCATCTGGACGCTGAGAGGTCCTATGTGTCATTGTTCTCAGTGCCACCAAGTTATGAGCAAGGTCAGAAATAAAGAGGAGAGACTTTGGGTTGGTGGTAGGAACTCATGATTCATGGTGTCTAGACTAGGACTAAAGATTGGGAAAGAAAAGTTCAAAGGTTTAGGGGGGAAAATATAGTGCTTTAAAACAAAAATTTACAGAATGTATTGTTAGGTGTTAACAAATCAACTTAGAGTCCTAACAACTCTGTGATTAACAGATCGAAACCTTGCCCTGTCCTGTGCCCTCCTCCTCCTCTCATGCGTAAGCCCGTGGTTGTGGTCACTGTGTCCGTCCATCTTGTTGAACATCTTCCTCTCTTTTGCTGATCCTCTTCTTTTCCCAGCATGATATCTTTTCCCACGAACTGGTGCTTCTTAAAATCATCCCCAAAGTATGTGAGAGAAAGTTTCACAGTCCTTGCTGTGAAGGAGCACCCTGGTGGTCCTCCAACGCTGATTTGCTCCTTCTTTTGGTTGTCTGTGGTATATTTGAGACTCTTTGCCAGTTTTCATAATCTATACAAGAAACACTGTTAAAATAACGCACACTATGATTACGGAACTATATGGCATACTAGCCAATGTTTAAAAATTGACAAGTGTCACTGATCAGTCCCTACCACACATAAAGTTGCATATTGCTCGTGATTTTATTGTAGCAATATGTTTTTAAAGAATATTACCTCCAAGAATATGTCATCTTGATCATACATTATTTTGTTGAATGATCTTTTTTAAGTAGTAGTGGACTTCATTTTGTTCTTGTCCTCAGAACCATAAGCTATATATTTCTTTTGGTACATAATTCATTATTATTAATTTGATAAAAATTATTCTAGGTGATATCCATTTAATGATAGCCACTCATTTAGTTAACACTAAATAATTTTAGTTTCGTGAAAAAGTAATGAAATTTTCTGTTTAACTAAGTTCTTTTTTATTAACTTCCATTCATTCGTTGTTGCACTTTTCTCACTGCCCACCCCCACTCCTCCCCCCCCAATTTACTCTTCTCTTTGAAAAGTAAAAGAAAGATTCTTTCATTGTTATACAGTCCCTCCCCCCAGGTCCACGCCACTATGTAGCCTTCATTCTGGACTCCTGTCATGACAACAATACCTAATCACATATCTCTTTTAAACAGTTGACTAGGTTCCTTTTTAAAGGTATGTCAGTGTGTGTAAAACAAATAACAATTTATAGCTCACTGAAGTGAAAATCCTTCTGTTTTATCACCAGTACCTGTCTAGGCTTAAGTGTTTGTTTTTAAGCAAGAAATATTGCTTCCCTGAGGTCAATAATTAAATAGTAAATTGAATTTTAAACATTAGTTTTGTGATTTTGTTTATTTAAATTTTTGGGGGGAGCAAAGACAGTTTACTATAGTAAATTTAAGCAGAAAAAAAGTCCAGGAAATTAAAGTGGAATTTTGGCTTTCCAGAGTGTCTCTGAGGGACTTCTGAAAAATTACTTCAACACTGTTAATTTAAAAATGGGTTGTGTCTATTAGTTATTGTCATAGAGATAATAAATAGATTAACTACTAATGAACACTTGTAAATTGACTAAAAAAAAAAAGCAAATGGAAAAGCTGATGGGAGAAAACTACCCCATGTTTCTATGAGACACTGTTAGTCTCTCAGCTAACAGGATTCCTCAGCATAACAATTGGATTTAATGACCTCATTAAATCCCCAGATACTTCCATATTCAGATTATATTCAACTGTAAATCTTCTCCCTTTGCTTTCTTTCTTGTTTCCCCTAAGAATGTAACTACTCAAGTCAAAACAGGAACCTATTGTAATTTTTCTTCTCCTTTCCCCACTAGTACTTTTTGGTCATGGACCCTGTTCTTCTAACCTTCTTTATCCATGCCATTACCTCCCCGGCCACTTACTCTATATCTGCAGCAGCTGAGACTTGATTTTCTAGACTCATTCTCATCTTCTGGTCCTGTTGTTGTTAGATGTCTTTCAGTCTAGGAGAATCCTTGTTGTTGTTATATGCCATTGACTCACCTGAAATTTATAGGGATCCTTTGCACAGTAGCTCTGAACCTGCCTTATCCTGAGCCAGTTTCACTGTCTCTAGCACATCTACATCCTTAATCCCAGTTATTGTGTCTGTCCACCTCTTCCAGAGTCTTCCTACACTGTCCCTCCAACTCTTCAAAGCATGATGTCCTTCTCCAAGGACTGGTCTCTCCTGAAAACAAGCCTGAAGTATGAGAGACGAGGTACCAAAATCCTTGCTTACAAGGAGTGACGCTCTGCAAGAAAGACCTATTTGTTTTCTTGGAAGCCCATGATATTTTCAGTACTCTTCTTCAGCACCACTCAAAGGCATAAATTCTTCTTCTGTCATCCTTAATCATTGTCCGGGTCCCTGATGCATAGCAAGTAATTTCAAAAACCATGGTCTGAATCAGACACACCTTAGTCTCCAGCTTGACATAATTGCTCTTCAGCACTCTGAAGGGAGAGGTCCCTGGCAACAGCTTTTACTATTGCAGTTTGTTTCGTTTCCTGACTGCTGATGCCAAGAATGTTGATTATGTACCCAAGCAAGCTGAAAGTATTAACAACTTCAATCTCTGCTCCATTTATCGTGGTGCTTCCAATTGCCCCAGTGGTGAGAATCTTTGTTTTCTTAAGG